TATATATATATATATATATATAGATATCGGCCGATTATTTTTAGTTTAAGCGGTAGATGGTAGATGAACGACTATTTGGGGTAATTCTTCTAAAAAAAAAAATTATAATAGATACAGTTGTTCTTAACTTAGAAAATATATTGGTACTATTTGATTAGAATATCTATGCAATCACAGTTGTTTTCACTTTTTGCAAAAATTGGAAAAAAATTCATTAGTTGTGTTTGGTTTGAGGTTTTTTTTTTTTTTGAAAAACTAGAAAATAATTTTCATTTTTTTTTTGTACAACAAATGACAAACGTTTTGGATTAGTAAATGTTTTCTTAATCGTATTTGTTTTAGAATTTTCCTTTTTTTTTCGTTTTTAGAAACAATACCACGAAAAAGGAAGACTTGTATGGGGAGACTTTCACCTCGTTGCTCGAAACGTATATATGCGTGTTTTCACTATGCTTTTCCTCTGTCAAAAGCAATCTCTCACATTAACTTCTATTCACATTCATCGATTTCCCATATAGATTCTGATTCGCAGTTATATCAACCATTGTACTAGTTCAATTTTCCAATTCTTTGTTTCCCAGGTATGAATTTTAACATCGTCTTTGAATTGCACTATTTAGTGTTTTTCTGCTATATTTTAGAGCGGCCTTAATTGAACTAGAATCTCGATTTTGTAGCTCAATTCCATGTGTATGATCTTTTGAAATTAGCTGTTTTGGTAAATTAACAAGTCCTATTTTGAATGCTTGATCGCACTTCTATTATTGTTATTATAGCAGATGGGTTCGATAAAATCCACTTGTTCCAGTCTTTAGTGTTTGTTTGTTATGAAGGGAAAATATTTCCTCGAAAATAAGTGATTTTTTTGCTTATTTTGTGGTGTTTGATAAAAAAAAAGCAGCTCGGTGCACTAAGCAGAAAATACATTTATATAATAATCTAAGGCATACACTATGGGTGGTTGGGGGTGGGGGTTCGGTTGGGTGGAGGAGTGGGTGGGGGTCCGGACGGAGTTTAGGGGTGTGTCGGGGATTGGGGTGGGGGTGGAGGGTGTTGGGGGTGGAGAGGAGACAATCAGCGCGGAATGCAACTTAAAGAACTTATTTTTCCTACTCTCACCAGGAAAGTCATTTTACTTGTTTTTCTAAGGGAAAATATTTTTCAAACTATTTTGACCAAATATGGGAATATTGGTTTTATTTATACCAAACACATCCATAGTGTTTTATTTCCGATTTGTAAATTTTCTTGATGTTGGAGCTCAATTTTACTACTCACTTTGTCCCATTTTATGTGGTATTTTTTGACTGAGCATGGAGTTTAAGAAAGATGAAGCTTTGGAACTTGTGATCTAAAACAAGCCATTGATATTTTTACGGCAATAAATTATCTCGTTGAGGGTAAAATAAAATTTTTAAAGTTAAATTATTTCTAAATATAGAAATGTATCATTTATTTTTGGGACAGACTAAAAGGGAAACTGGCCACATAGTGGGCTAGAGGGAGTATATTATTTCAATTCTTACAGATTTTCTCAGCAGCCAAATGGCACTTCGACATTAGATTGAATGGGAATTGGAATGTAAAATTTACGGTGTGTAGATTTTTTGCTCCAGCTGCAGGTTCTTGAGTGGATTCTACTGGCGTTTGTATTATTGTTTGAGAACTCCTGGATTATTTGATTGAATGGATGTGGAGGGAGCCGGTACTTTGTCAGGAAATGGTGCAGAATCTGTAGAATCTCGTTCCCGTCCTGTTCGACAACATTTGAATAATGGTAAGCTCAAAGTGCAAAAAGATTCAGTTATCCTATGAGCCAGGTTTTCTGTCATAGTTAAATTCTGTTAAGATTTTGGGGCAAGGGTTTAAGGAAAGAAAACTCCTTTGATTGTAATCAGAAAAAAATTAATAATAAATTGGTGCCAGGTATCTACCCTTATACCCACAACGATCGGCCATATTTTGCTATCCATAATGGGAAAGAGTATTTACCTACTAATATACAACAACAACAACAAAAACTCCAGTGTAATCCCATAAATGGGCTCTAGGGAGGGTAGTGTGTACGCAGACCTTATCCCTACCTTATAAAGATAGAGAGGTTGTTTCCGATAGACCCTCGGCTCAAGGAACAGTGGAGATAAGATAAAGCAGCCAAGTGACAAACTATGGTAACAACAATGTAATATGGCAACGAGCGCGAATGACACATCATGTAATAATAAAGAATCATGATAAGATAATACAAAAATAGTCCTAGTACTACTGGTAAGCCTAGGAAGAACACATTACTATCTGTCAACCTACAACCCTAATCCTCGACCTCCATACCTTTGTGGGTCATATCCTTGGTAAGCTGAAGCAACTACATGTCCTGCCTAATTACCTCTCCCCAATACTTCTTAGGCCTACCCTTTCCCTCCTTAGACTCGCCATGGACAACCCGTTACACCTCCTGACCGGAGCATCTATATCTCTCATCTTCACGTGCCCGAACCATCTCAACCTCGATTCCTACAACTTTTCCTCCACAGATACCACTCCTACCTTGTCCCTAATAACTTCATTCCTAATCGTCATTCCTGGTATGCCCACACATCCATCCCAACATCCTCATTTTAGCTACTTTCATCTTCTGGACATGGGACTTCTTGATGGGCCAACACTCAGCCCCATACAACATAGTCGGTCTAACCACCACTCTGTAGAACTTGCCCTTAAGTTCAGGTGGCACATTCTTATCACACAAAACCCCCGAGGCGAGCCTCCATCTCATCCACCCCGCTCCAATACGATGAGTAACATCCTTGTCAATCTCCCCGCTGCCTTGAATAATAGACCCAAGATACTTGAAACTATCTCTTTTAGGGATGACTTGAGTACCGATCTTCACTTCCATTTCTTCTTCATGCATCCCATCGATGAACTTGCACTCCAAGTACTCAGTGTTTGACCTACTCAACTTGAAACCTTTAGACTCCAGCGTCTGTCTCCAAACTTCCAACCTAGCATCAACTCTGCCTCGCGTCTCGTCAATCAGAACTATGTTATCAGGAAATAGCATACACCATGGCACTTCCCCTTGTATGTGTCGCGTCAGCACATCTAATGCTAAGGCAAACAAAAACGGGCTAAGGGCCGATCCCTGATGCAACCCAATCTCCACTGGGAAATGATCCGAGTCTCCTTTCGCGGTCCTCACCCGAGTCTTTGTCTCTCGTACATGTCCTTTTAATCACCCTAATGTATGCCACCGGGACACCGCTAGCCTCCATACATGTCCATAGTACCTCTCTCGGGACTTTATCATAGGCTTTCTCTAGGTCAATGAATAGCATATGCAAGTCCTTCCTCTACCTGTACCGCTCCACCAATCTCCTCACAAGGTGAATGACTTCTGTAGTAGACCGTCCCGACATAAATCCGAACTGGTTCTCGGGAATAGTAACACTACGTCGCACCCTCCTCTGCACCACCCTCTCCCAAACTTTCATAGTATGTCTCAGCAACTTGATACCCCTATAGTTGTTATAGTCCTGGATATCACCTTGTTTTTATACAATGGGATCATCAAACTCCACCGCCAGTCTTCGGGCATTTTCTTTGTCCTGAAAATGATATTAAACAAACTAGTAAGTCACTCCAAGCCTGCCCGACCCACTTCTTTCCAAAATTCGACTGGGATCTCGTTAGGCCCAGTTGTCTTACCCTTACTAATATAATAGATAGATAACCTGATATGCCACAACTTGAGAAACTTTGCGCCTGCTTTGAATTGTCAAGGACATGCAAAACGCGATAATAGATCTCAGCAATGGAAAAACTGTGGAAGTCCTCAACTTTCTTTGTTTTGACGTGTGGAGAGTGCATATTGATGTTATAGAGCAGAATAACCTTCCATCATGAATACTATGAATTAAAACCAACAAAAACAAAGAAAAAGAAGAAAAAGCTCTTATAGGTGGAAATTTTCTCTCAGCGAGCCAGGTACTTTAAGGAGTAGATCCGAACTAAATATTCAGAAAATGTAAATTTGTTATAGCTGCTGTCAATTGTTAAACTAGAGAAAATTTCTTCTTGTTTTCAAATACTTAATAAATGTTTCTTTTGTGGGTGTTGTTGATGTTATGCTGGTGGCACTTTGGGTTATGTTGATAGAGGTTGAGTTTTGAGTTGTAAGTTGTAACAGCATTGTGTAGGGTTGTGGTTTGTGATGGTTATTAGTTGTTTCTGGTATGTGGTGATGGGGACTTAATGGTAGTGTTAATCGGTGATGGAGATCGTGTTTGCCTTGGTTGACCCTTAGATTAGCTGGGAAGGAATTATGAGGATACTATTAATATGAATTAGGGCGGTGACCTTATGCCATCCTTCTCGTATTTATTAAGACCTTTAATGGGCCTTTACCCAATTCTTATAGAGATATTAGGCAAGACATATAATCAAGTCATGGTATTAGTATGGACACATTTAAGTTTTAACAATAGTTAGGTGAAGAAAATGTTTAATACCAGAGGACTTGCTTGATTTCTACAGAAATGTTAAGATATGAACTCAAAGTAATTGATAGGATCAAGCGAGCGTGACTTTCCTATGAAGAGAGATATAGCGTCCATGTCCATAATAAAGTAAGAGTTTGGTGTGTCTACCTGTTGGTTATAGTTTCTGTTTTTGGGTGAAGTAACGGGATCAAATAAGCTTCCTCAATAGCGTGAAAGCATTCTTTGGAAGATAGGTTCCTATTGTACTACACTTACTAAAGGTTACCATTGTCACTAGAGTCTTGGTAGGTCTGTTTCTTTATAATAAGCATATAAGAGGAGAATATGTGAATTTGAGGAGTTCATTATGCCATCTCTCTACGAAAATATAGAATTGGACAATTGGTTATGTGATTGTGACATTGGGATTGCTGATGCATCTTCAATCAAAATATCAAGTTATGATTATTTCAATTAAGCGTTTGTTCTATATTGATTGGTACTCATCTAGTTGATTTCTTCTTTGCATTATTATCATCAGTTTCCAATTGATCTTCCTCATTTCTCAGTATTATTCATAAGCTTAGACTAATGCAACTCTATTTATACTTCATAATCTATAAATTACAGAAGTTGAGGCTAAATAGTGACATGTTTCATTCTCACATTTGCAGCTGTATATCAGTTTACTCAACAAAATCTCCCAGCATGTAAACCTGTCCTGACACCAGCATGGGTAATTAAATGAGAAGAAGTCTTTCTCTGAAATGACCCATTTCTTTTCTAAAATGACGGGGTATTGAACTATTCTGACTACGTCTCTTAACAGGTCATTTCAATGTTTTTCTTGATAGGCGTCATTTTTATTCCAATTGGACTTCTCTGTCTTCATGCTTCTGAAAGTGTAAGCGTTAGCTCTTCTGTTGATTACATTATTAATCTGTTTGCGTAATCTGTTGGTTTGCCATTCTTGATCAATAAGTTTGGTGTAGATCGTTGACCGGAAAAGCATTTGCAGGTTGTTGAGATTGTTGACAGATATGATACAGATTGTGTGCCAGATCATCTCAAGGGCCAAAAAGTTGCTTACATTAAAGATAGCTCGGTGTCGAAGAATTGTACGCGATACTTAAAGGTGATATTTCATTACAAGTTATGAGCTCACATTCAAGCATGCCTCTTTATCATATGTTGATTCTCCTCACCTTATAAGATATTATGTGTCATCTGCAAAGAACTAGTATTATATAAGCTTTGACTTATTTATGCTCCATCCTACCTGTACACCTCTTATCCACTCCGAAATAGCTTGTAATGACACTTCATTAAGCATTCTTCTGGACGTCCAGTGATGAGGATGTACACTTTGATTGCTCGTAGAAGTTCATCCATGAACACCAATTTCTTACCACTTTATCCCCAGTAAAAAACCTTTTCAATACCAAAACTTGTTTTGGCTCGTACATTGAGTAGAAACCTCCAGCTTCCCTGGCCGTAATCATTCTCCACGGCCAGTATATACATCAGCCCCTGTTTACCTTCTTTTAACATAGCATACAAGCTTTTATTTGCTATAAAAACAGCATCAGTAATCTGCTGGCTTCTAATGAAAGCATTCTGTGTATCGAAAATCAATTTTGATATGAATCGCTTAAACCTTATGGCTGAATATCTAATGACACAATCTTATAGAACTCCGGTTCAAACTGTTTCGCCTGTAATTTTTCATCTAACTGGCACCAATCTGCTGGCTTTAGTGAAATAAAAGTGGTATTGAGGAATTGGTACCTTCTTGGTACTTATAAATAAAAAACTTTACCTTTTCATAAATTAAAAAAAAAGTAGTATTGAGTATTCCTCCCCTCCCCCCCGGGGATTGAGAAGGTTATACAAGTAGTATTTGAGCATTCTTTGCAGAAATACCCATAGATTTTCTAAAAATAATAGACGCGCGCGCACACACACTCTCACATATATACATGCATAAGATAAGAATCGCAGAAGGTCCCAATACTACTATTTTCACACGCTATATTGGTCTTCGTTGTAAAGCTTCCAAAGGTAAGTTCCTTGATTTTTGTGTTGTCATAATGTGTTAAGTGGTTGTATTCACTTCGAGCGAGAGTCCTGTATATTTGTGTATATAATTATTTACTTTCAGAATGCCAAATGTTTTATCATGGAAGGGTTGAGGTCTTATTTTTTGAAGGTGTATAGTAACCATGGCAAACTGTTGTGGATAAAATAGTTAAAAAAGGTGTAGCCAAATACCGTATAATTGTCATTTATCAAAAGATAGCATATTATTATCTAAGCAATGAGGTGGTTATCAAATAATTGTCTGAACAATTAGGTTCTGTGATAGATACTCACCAAACCTGATACTGAAAAAGCAGCAATAGCAGCATTCTTAGCTGATACATGATGATAAAGTGCATCTTTGGAATAAAATTCTTCTTCATTTCCTTCCGAGAGAGCTTTACATACACATTAAAATAAAATAAGGAAACTATATAAATTATGGAAGTCTTTGTTGAACGAGGAAGGCTTGAAAGCCCCTTTCCCCCCATTGAATTGTATAAGCCAAACCCTTCCAATTTCTTTCAATGAATAAGGGAAACCACTGGTTTCAAATAGTAGAAAATTGTTTTGGTAATAAAATATCCAAAAAGCTGCTGGCAATTCATATTGAACCTAAAAACAGCATTGTGGTGGTGATCTTACTTAGTTTTGCTAGTTCTTCATTATTAGCTTATACTTTCATAAGAAGTGCTGAATTAGGAAAAGTGATTTATACAAATAATCTATATGTTTTATGTTATCATACATCCACATGTCACTGCATACTTGCTTCATAAGTATTATAAAAATTCTAAATTAATAGAGTAAATGGAACCTCAGTTACTTTATTAAAAGCTATGTAGCCCGTACTTGCAGCGTTAACATGGGTTTAAAACTTTGTGCAACCATTAAATTCCGGAAATGTTATTTCACCAGCTCTTCTAACATATAGATTTGGACAGAGTTTAAAACTTTGTGCAACTCTGTTCCTACCTCTATTTTCAAGTCTTGGACTGAGTTTTGTGTGTTGCACGAATAATTTTTCTAAATTTCCTACCTCTCTTTTCAAGTCTTGAAGTTTTGTGCATTACACAAATAATTCTTCAAAATTCACCTATATAAAAAAATAAAAACGAACAACTTCTAGAAAATTTTCCGTCATTTGTATTGCTTGGGAAATAGTTTACATTCCTTCTTGTGTCCATATATTGAGGTATAACGTGTTTGACATTGTATCACTCAATCCATGATGCTGATTGCTCAGCAGTATACTGCATCATTTCATTTCTCTCTGCAAGCACAGCCAACCTTTGCCTTCTTGATTTACTCCTGATGGAATTTCCATGATTGGAGCAATCCTCTCTAGTTTGAATATTTTCCTTTATCCTTTTCATTGATTTGTTTTGTGTTTGTAAATTGTCTCTGTGCAGGTGCCTCAAAATATGAAAGCTCCGATTTTCATTTATTATCAACTCGATAACTATTACCAGAACCACAGAAGGTGAAGGCTTTTATCTCCTTTGTTTCATTTTTTTTTCAAGTACCAACTTTTGCTGGTAAGTTTAAGTTGATGGAAGATTGGAATTAGTGGCATTTTAAATTAGTTGAGTATCTCAACATTTATAAGTTTCTCTCTCTCTCTCTCTCTCTCTCTCTCTCTCTCTCTCTCTCTCTCTCTTTTTTAATTATATGTTTGCAATAGCAGATTCTTTTCTCAGTTATGCCACATTCTTATTGCATTTTATACTAGTTGTACCATTTTGTTTTCTCTATTATCTTTATTCACCCATTTCCTTTTGGAGTGCTGCGGTGCTAGTACATTTTTCATAAATTTATTCCTCTGTTTGAAGTACATTTCATGCTCTATCTTCTTGGAATTTTTCTTTTCTGACTCAGCTTGGTTCTTTCTATCCAGGTATGTTAAAAGCAGAAGTGATAAACAGCTTTTACACGGTCTAAAGTACAAAGATACAAGTTCTTGCAACCCTGAAGGCGAAAATAATGGTCTCCCAATTGTTCCTTGTGGTTTGATTGCATGGAGCTTGTTTAACGACACATACTCCTTTTTCCGTGGAATAGATGCTTTAAAAGTTAACAAGAAAAATATTGCTTGGAGAAGTGATCGTGAACATAAATTTGGGAAGCATGTTTATCCATTCAATTTCCAGAGTGGGTCTCTAATTGGTGGTGCAACGTTGGATCCTGACATTCCTGTAAGGCCTTTTGACAGATGCACCAACTTTGACTATTCCTTTCTGTTAAATGAAACATATGTGATGTTTATGAAATTGAAAGTTAAACCAAGGCATATAAATTAAGGAGCTGTCCTTCATTTTTGAGTCGATATCTCTGCTAGAATCCTTAGGCTAAATAAGATGGAAAATGAAATGACCAATGGAAAAATAAGTATCAATCTTAATAAGTTTCAAATTTCCCTGGATGAACGTGTACATGAGTCACTACTAACATTCAGACCAAATACTGATCATGGAAAGTGATTATGCCTCTGTTCTAGATTCCCAACCAGATGCTGTCAGGCTGTTTCTTGTGCCCTGATGCAGTTTCTTGCTTTTCACAAAAATAAGAACAGTCAACTTAAGATTTCTTGCTAGATTTCATTCTTAAATGTGGCACTATGAGTTGAGATAATGCATTCATGAATTGTGTCTTTATAGACTTTAATATTTTCTTGGATGAACGTGTACCTGAGTCACTACTAAGCATCTTAGATGTGGCACTCATGAGTTGAGTGTTTATATCACTTTCTCCATTTTGAATCTTTGCTTAAGTATTGGAATTTTAAGCACGTCGTTTGGTGAAGGATTGATTTCGTTGGTTAAGCATATATTATGACTTCAACATTGTGATTCTAGCTTTCTCTTTCAAAAGTATATGGATTTGTCTTCTGTCTAATTCTCTTCTCTAATGTTCTCCTATTTCATGAATCATATTTCCTCTTTGGAATGGGATTGATGGTATCAACCAGCTAAGTGATCAGGAGGATTTCATTGTATGGATGCGTACTGCTGCTCTCCCTAGCTTCCGTAAGTTATATGGGAGAATTGAAGAAGACTTAAATGAAGATGATTTAATTATGGTGAAGCTAGCAAACAACTACAACACATACAGCTTTGGTGGAAGGAAAAAACTTGTTCTTTCAACAACCAGCTGGCTGGGAGGCCGGAATAACTTCCTTGGAATGTCCTACATTGCCGTCGGCTCTTCATTTATCTTCCTCGCTTTTGTCTTCTTATTGCTTCATGTGAAAAATCCAAGGTAAACATTCATGTGGGCCAATATACAAATTAATGCTTCAAGATACCCTTTTATATCTGCCAAAATCCTGTTCTGTACTTACATGTGCTTCATGGTGTAATGTGGGGGCATCCTTTCTACCCCATCCCCCTCTGCCTCTTCCCTTCAATAAAAAGGAAATAGAGATGCCGATTTTCCATTTAGACCATCTAAGAAACAGGCGAAATTGCAGTTGAGATTAGCTAAGGGATTACAGTGGAAGCATAAACACATAATCCTATTTAAAACGTGAACATTTTAGAGATCTGTTCTTTTTCCTCGTCGGATATGCAAAGTTCTTAAAAAAAAAGTACGTGAATAAAAAGACTGGAATAAAAGGATCATGAAATGTGTCCATCTAAAAGTTAGGCAAAGGTCAACTGGCATGATGACAATGTGTGACTGAACCAAGTATGCTATGATAATATTGCATTGTTGCTAGCAGTGCTTTTCTTCATGTTATATTGTAGATTTATTGATTAGCTAAGATGCATTTAGTATTTTGTTTTTAAGCTAGCTTAGTACTAGTATGTAAGGATAGTCAAGTTTTGTATTTGTGTCAATTTGTTATCAGGCTTCTCAGTTATCCTAATTCCTTTGCATGCTTAAATTTTAATGTTTAGCTTTCTGGCAGTTGCCTGATCTTATATTTGGGGGGGGGGGGGGGGTTGTTGAGTTTGAGTTCCTAGTTAGGTCGTGTAGTCACGGTCTGATCCACTGCTCCTAGCCTTTAATCTCTACAATTTCTTGAATAATTTTCTTGTAGAAGGCAATTGCTTACTTTTATTAAATGACATGGTTAAATAGTTGGGACTTCAGATTGAGTTTCACCAAGCATACCTTTAAATCCTTTTCCTTTCCCTTAACACCAGCAGTGTTCTTATTAACATAATCCATTTAGAGGCAACAAGCAAATGTAATATCACCCAAAGATGTCCTCAGGAATCAGGAGACTGACACCCCTCAGATCCCTGGTTTGCCTTTACTCATCATGGTTGAGCATCAGCAGCTGCAATTTGGTTTAATATCCCACAAAGCATCTTGAACTGGAAGGTCAAGATAAGCTTCCGTGGTTTGAATAATGGTATTCATAGTGTAGATTTTTATCTGCTCAGAGGGAAAAGAAGCAGAAATGAGATCTAGTATAACACGACGTATATAATGCTTGAGCTTGTGATGGAAGCTTATTGGTGCCAATATATAAGCAATTTCTATTTTCCAGATTCCCCATGATATGATGGAGACAGCCTGATACAGTTCATGGAGAAGTGTATTGGTGACATCAAACCCATTGACCCAATCTAGTCAAACTGTCCCACTAGGAAGGTGTGAGCCCTTTTCATTTCCCATTGCAGGTGCTTCTCTTAATATAATTCCTATTGTCCTCTGCGGTTTTCTACTAGATATGGCTGTCCACCTCCGACTTACAGAAAGGTCCAGAAAAACCAATTGGCTTGTTTAGACTAAATTCCACCATGTTTTTGCAGGCAAGGGTCTGTTATCATCACAAACAGTTATAGATTCTCCATCTTCTTCCCCTTGGCAGCATAGAGCCTTCGACTAGTTGAATAGCTGCAGTAACATTTTGTAGTCCCTCCCTGATCAATCCAGGAGAAAGTAATTAGTTACCTTTCTGAGAGTTGAGCATATTATAAATTAGCTAGAAAAAAGTTTCCAAGGATGTAAAGAGATTGAGAAAGAGAGATTTAATATATTATTCTCTTTAAACATTATTTGTTTTTATGTTAACAAAAAACTAGTGCCCAAAGGGCTTTGATCTAGTGGTAAAAGCACAGTGTGTGATGTGTGCATTAGGCGCACGTCACGAGTTTGAACCCTATTGTAGATAAAAGCATGGTATTTAAGTGGAGAAGGGTAGAGGGGCGGACCCATTACTCATTGAGTTTCGAACCGTGCACCAAGTGACCTAAAGGAATTCTTGGTTATTGAAAAAAAGAAAAGTCAACCAACAACTGGTAGCAAACCTTCTGTTGATTAAATTGTGCTTGGGATATCAATTGAAGTAAATAAAAGGCAATCTTACAAGTAGCATTATTATTGTTAAGTTACTAGAATATTATGTTTAGTAACAGTCACTTGTAAGATCACCCACCTGTGGAAAGGAAGCTTGGAGCTAGAATCAAGTATAATAATCTTCGAGATGAATTCTCATTAAGGATTCTATATTATGATATGTTCAGATGAGAGTTATAAGTACTTCGGCTATCCCTTATGCCAGTAATATCAGAGAGGCCAGATGATCATGTTTTTATTCAACTCTTTACCTAATACCGCTGGGTTCATCTGTTGGAATTGAAAAAACAAGGAAAAGACTGGCTGTGTTACTTATGACTGATAAATCATGGTTTCACCGAAAACTTTGAATCATAATCTAAGTTGCTCGGACTCGGGTGCGAGTATCCGATACGGGGATGATCCGAGTATCGGATTCGGCAAAATCTAAATTTTAAGAGTCGGGGGTGCGGATCCGGATATGGATACGGGTGTGGGGATTCGGCTAATAAAAAATAGAGCTATAAAAATATTATAAATTTTGAGAGATATTCTGTAAAAAAAACTTACATGAATATTATAGAATTCAATTTTTCATTCTCCAAGATGGACATTATTCTATCATTCTTCTAAATCTGTTCTATTTTTTATTTTGAGAAATCAAAATCTCAATTTTTCTCCTAAATTTGTTGATGAACTCCGGTCAAAGTGTCCGGAGTCAGTTGACCGAATCCGGGACGTATCCCGCTCCCGTCCCCGTCTCGTATCGGGACGGGGATGGCACCAAAATCGAAGAGTCCGCGCAACTTAGATCATAATTATCCAATAAAATTAGTTTTTTTTGGGGGGGAGGGGGGGGGGGAGTGGAAGGAAGGGTGAGTGAGTTCATTGTTATAATACAAAAGTTTAGAACCAACATTCTAACGAAACGTAAGTCTAGAACCAGAGCTGAAATAGATAATATCACCATAGAAGAGGTGGTTGATTTTCTGAACCGGCATGAATGAGGAGCCCTGAAACTAGGCACGACAAATAGTTGATCAAATGAGGCCGGTTGATTTGTTTCAGAGGGGCATACTTTCTGGTATTATTTTGGTATGTATTCTTTCTGGTATGTTTTGTTCAGAACTCACCTTCTGGTAAACTATTCATCCAACAATGAAGCCGATGGATGTTCAATTTCATATTGTTCAAAGATGTTTCCCTCGATTCAAATTTTTCTATTTCCATAGCAGATTTTACGGTTCAACAACTCTCATTACGGGTTCCTCTTGGACGAGCTTCATACAGATTGTCAACTTTTTCAAGGCCTTGACTTTTGCTTGGTACATCTGATTTAATAATTACAATTTTGAAGCTTTCTGGACTCCCACCAATTTAAAAGATGGAGTTCTGCTGTACGGAATTCATAGTATGACTTAAGAAATTTTATTTCATGTGCTGCATGATGGTTTTTGGTGGGGTGGGGTGGGGGGGAGGGCCCATCTTTTTTTCTTCCATTTTCTGCCAAAATATTTGCCCACGTCTTCGTGACAAGTTGAAATGTCTTCACTTATAGGCCTGGCCCTAGGACTTAAATCGTTTGCTGTGGCTGCAAACAGGCACAAGTTTGCAGGAGATTCTTGCAGTGGAATATAGAAAATGTAAGAATAGCAAGTATTGGCTGAAGGGACTCTGAGAAGGGGATCGCCTCCAGTTAGAGAGGGTGGATGGTTGTTGATAGGGTATCTAAACTGTTGTGTTTTAGTTCCCTCTGGGTGACTAACAGTTTGACAACTTGACATATTGCTAGCTTTTTGTTTTTTCCTTTCCATGACACCAAGATGACTTTAAAATCTGGCTCACTGCAAATTATTAGTATATTTTCTGTAGAAAGTGCTCAGAGTTATTAACCTAGCTTTGGTTCAGTGATACTAAGAGGTTTATACATCCCATTGAAGTCATTGTTGTGCAGACTTTGATTTGAGCTCCCCTTTATGCAGGCCTTATGGAGATACAAATTTATCATGGAACAGGAAAGGCATGTCAAACTAGAAGGTATTACTACCGCTAAATTGCAAATTCCTCTTTGAAAAACTTGGCTTTATGAACGAACTGAAGTTCTTATTAATGAGAACAACAGAATATTTGTTAGGAGGTCGCACTGTGTTCATAAAGGTTATGATTGGGTGTTGGAATAGTAAACAAAAACAATCTGGTATATCATTTCAGTAATCCGTTTCTTGCTAAGATCTATATGTATCTTCAACATTTGCTAAGACCTAACAGAATTCGCTGAAATTTACCAAAATCCTAGCTACTGCTGGCTGAATATGTAACATGAACAACTGTAAGTAAGCTAACTAGCTATTTAGTGTGAATTTGCAAGATGAATCAGATAATTCTCGTCTTCTACTAGTAATATTCAAATTTCATCCAAATGATCAATAAAGTATAGGTTGATGAAATTGAATGGAATTAGCTTGTGCAATCTTTTAAGGTTTGATGTTGCTTGAATGACTAAATCCATTTTATGGGAGTTAATCCAAGGGTATCAATGTTATATTTTATCAAAGAATTGAATAAAAGGGCAGCCCGGTGCATTAAGCTACTGCTATGAGCGGGGTCCGGAGAAGGGTCGGACCACAAGGGTCTATTCTACGGAGCCTTACCCTATATTTCTGCAAGAGACTGTTTCCATGGCTCGAACCTGTGACCTCCTGGTCACATGGGAGCAACTTTAGGCTCCCCTTCTATCCAAGTATTGAATGTTTACTCAAAAGTACTATGGTAGTCGGAACTTGTATTGGTTGCATACATTAGTCCTTTGTTATTTAGATAACCATAATGTTATATGTGCAGATAGATTTCCTTGAAAGACACCTCCTGGTATATAAATGAAGTTATATCAGATATTTTCAGAGCAAAAAGATCAAAAGTATACATTACAGAATCTGCGAACTATTCATACAATCAGTCTGTGACTTGATATGTTAGCGCAACTGTACCTTTTGCCGATGAGTTATGTAAGCATATATGTTTTGTATAGTTTATATGAAAGATTACGAAGAGGCTATTATTGGTGTTCAAGAGGTCAATTTCCATTGGGTGTCCTATAATATTTCCTTTGAGAATACAGCATGTGTGTACTTAAGACACCATACTTTGTGAAGTTTGTTTCCGATAGACCCGCGGCTCACGAGAAGCATACTCGCATCATTTGTTGAAAGTATGCTTGTGTAGACATGACAAACATATCTAATTACTAATCTTTTATTTCTGCGTTAAAAGAATTAGAACTAGGAGAAAAGGAAACAAGAAAAAGAGAAGGATGACCTAGTATTACCATACAATGATAGTCATCCTCATCCATCAGCATCTCAAGACCCTCCAATACATAATCAACCCCATGGTTCTTATACCCTAATTACATTAAAAACTTTAGAAAATTTAAAAACCTAAACGAATTAGTTGAAATTTTGAAAAAAAAAGTGTCTAGCATATTAATATATGTATAAACAATATGATAGTAAAAAAATAACACGAGTTAAATCAACTGCAATATCTTAGCAATTCAAACACAAAGGAAAAACAAACATGACTTCATACTGTAACTCTTAACAAGTAGATAGTCATGAGCCTTTTTCTTAGTATTATAATTTGAAAAATTACTCTTTTCAATATAGCAGGCGCAATCAGAGGCGGACCTATTCATGTAGAAGAGGGGTCACCGGACCCCGTTATCTTCAGCAAAAATTCTGAATGTATAATCGTATATATGTTGAAAACGGTCATATATTGCTCGAAACCCTTAAGATTAAAAGTCCGACGGGGCACTGGTTGAGCACTTCGCTTATGTACCCCCGCCACCTTCAAATCCCGGATCTGCCTCTGGGCGCAACGAATGAAAGTAAACGACAATACATAGTGCATTTGAGAACAAAAATCAATCTCTGACTATATATTCTTCAAACATAACATCTTATTACAATATCATTATGAAAAATGAATGTCAAAATTGGAACAAAAAGGTTCGACTCCACCTCCTATATATTAAACCATAGTGTATCTGTTAATCAATGTATAAGCAAGAATGGAAAGTAAAAGAACATATAATACTTTTTGATCGATAAAATCTTGATGAATTTTAATTTCTTCTTCTGCAATTGTCTCTAATTTTGGAGCATTGGAAAGCCTACGAGGAGAAATAAAGCGTGCTGGTGCAACTTCTACAATATTATTCATGTATCTCCTTGCCATGCACTTGTCTTAATTAATTTCTTGTTTCAACAAGAAATTAAACTTTTGTGGAATTTTTGGAGGAGTGTAAAAGGTAATTGAGTATTTTTTATTTTTTTATTTTTATGTTAAGAAACTAAGATTTGATGTTAATTTATACTAGCTTGTTTGAGTAAATGTAGGGTTGAAAATCATTTTTTATTAGTGATAACCGTGAAAATAGATACTCCTCGCGTTTGTTAAGAAGTTTTAGATGAATTAGTGGTCTATATATGATTGGCGAGTGAAAATAAAATCACAATTTACTTCCATAAATCTCGTGGTCAAATGTCGTTTCAATATTATATTCCTTTTTTTAGTGCCTAATTACCATGCAAATACCCCCCCAACCCCCCAACCCCCTACCCCCCAAAAAAAAAAGAAAAAAAAAAGAAAAGAAGAAGAAGCTAAAATCTAGGCAGTCCATGCTCAGCTTCTTTACGTCTCTTTACTAATTCCAATTTTTTCCTATGGACTAATGGACAGAAATTGAACAACGCCGACGAACAACGAACCACCCGTAAAACACACGGGAATTTTTATGTACAGATGAAGAAGAAGATCAGAAAATTTTGTAAATAAAGATTCTGGGATTCAAAGAATATTTATAGATCATTTGGTACTGTTTCTGAAAAGGTTTGAAACCTTTCAGAAATAACCATAACTGTTGGAACAGGTGTGAAACAGAAATATTGCGGGAAATAACAAACAGATTTAAAATAATCCGGGAAAGAAAACGGACCGGACTGGACCTGGTCGCGGGTCGCGGTTCATGGGTTATTCCGGATTGAATTTTCATTAATTAATTAAATAATTGAAAGAAATTTTGTCCACAAAGATTAATCAATCTATCTTTGACCAAATCCGAAGCCGAAGCCGAAGCCGAGCCGAGCGAGCGAGCAACGACGACAGCGCGAGGCCTGCCTTCTTCTTAACTCTTTAAGAGCTAGAAGAAGAGCAATTGTATAAATACCCATCAAAAGTCTTTTCTTCCTCCAATATGGAACAATGTCCCTTTGCCAAGGAGTGAAACTCAAATATTTCATTTTTCCTCCATTTCCCATTCACCCTCTTTAAGCTACACCAAGCTTAAAAGCCCAACAATCCCCACATGAATGTGGAATGACTATAAAATAAAGAAATACATGGACGCGCGTGTGTTTGCCATGCAAGAATTAATTGCATCTGGATAGGTAGGTTTCCCTTTGAACTTTCCGTAGTGAACTTATATCAGATATACTCGGTCAATCGGTAGATTTGATATCTTTGAACCGTCGAGCTTTGTTGTATACCTAGACAACATAAGTCATACAATCAATCCTTAACCATATATGGTTCTCACGGTTGTGTTCGTTTCAGCCATGAACACCGCCTGGTTTCATGAGTGCTTAGAGAATGGGCCTTTACTTTCATTCCACTTGAAGCGGCTTACACTTCACACTCACATATGTGATTTCTAAACGTATAATCCTATAGACACACTATCTGGTCATATCCTGCCAGACTTAGCAAATCATTAAAAAGCTTTAAGCTTTATTGACTCATCAAAAAGCCTTAATGCTTTACCTCGATTTGTGAACATTGTCTTAATCACGAGAACGGGTTGAGTTGTTCGACAATGTTGAACCGTCATTCATAACTTTGTTTGATCTCTTTGAACCTAGCTCGTTGGATCTCCAGTCTGCTAGGTAGAGTTACCGCCATGATGACTTGTCCTAGACCTTAACCCCATTCTTCACCGGCCTTATCTAAAACTATGAATTCAGATTCCATTGTAGAACGGGCGATGCATGTTTCTTTGGATGATTTCCAAGACACTGCTCCACCCCCAATTGTGAAAACATATCAACTCGTGGATTTAACTTCAGATGATCCGGTGATCTAATTTGCATCACTATATCCCTCAATCACCGAGGGATATTTGTTATAATGCAAAGCATAATTTTAGATATGTTTCAGATACCCCAAAATTCGTTTCATTGCCATCCAATGTATTTGATTGGGATTACTTGTAAACCGACTCAGTTTGCTAATAGCACATGCTATATCTGGTCGGGTACAATTCATGATATACATCACTTTCCAATACTCTTGCATAGTCCAGTTATGAGTCACTTTCACCTTCATTCTTTTGAAGTGCATAACTCACGTCACTTGGAGTCTTGTCAATCTTGAAATCCAAATACTTGAACTTGTCAAGTACTTTTTCAATGTAGTGAGACTGTGATAATGCTAGACCTTGTGGAGTCTTATGAATTCTGATTCCTAAGATCACGTCAGCAACTCCCAAGTCTTTCATGTCGAATTTGCTAGCCAACATGTGCTTAGTAGCAGCTATATCTGCCATACTTTTGCTCATTATTAACATGTAATCAACATATAAACAAACAATAACTTCATGACCTGCAGTGTTTTTAATGTAAACACATTTGTCACACTCGTTAATTATAAACCCACTTGCCAACATTGTCTGGTCAAATTTGGCAGGTCATTGTTTGGGTGCTTGTTTAAGTCCATAAAGCGACTTAACAAGTTTGCACACTTTATTCTCTTTACCAGGAACCATAAAACCCTCAGGTTGTTCCATGTAAATCTCTTCTTCCAATTCTCCATTTAAGAAAGCTGTTTTAACATCCATTTGATAGATTTCAAGATCATACACGGCCGCTAGTACCACTAACACCCTAATAGATGTTATCCTTGTTACTGGCCAGTAAGTGTCAAAGTAATCAAGGCCTTCCTTTTGTCTATAACCTTTGACAACAAGTCTTGACTTATATTTGTCAATAGTGCCATCAGCCTTCATTTTTCGTTTAAAGATCCATTTCGAACCTAAAGGCTTATTTCCTGGAGGAAGATCAACATATTCCCATGTATGGTTATCCAAAATTGATTGAATCTCACTATTGACTGCCTCTTTCCAAAATGCTGAATCAGAAGATGACATAACTGCTTTAAAAGTTTGAGGCTCATTTTCAAGCAAGAATGTCACAAAATTTGGTCCAAAGGAAGTAGATGTTCTTTGACGTTTGCTACGCCTTGGATCTTCTATACTTGGAGTATTTTCCTTTGGTTCTTCCCGAGGTCGTTTAGGTCTTTCACTTAACGACTCGCATTCAGTTTTATACGGATAGATGCTTTCAAAAAATTCAGCATTATCTGATTCCATTACGTATTAACATGAATTTCGGGATTATTGGATATATGAACCAAAAACCGACATGCTTTACTGTTTGTAGAATATCCAATGAAAATGCAATCTACAGTTTTTGGTTCGATTTTAATCCTTTTAGGTAAAGGAACTTGTACCTTTGCTAGACACCCCCACACTTTGAAATATTTCAAGTTGGGTTTTCTTCTTTTCTATTTTTCATATGGAATAGATTGCGTTTTGCTGTGGGGTACTATGTTGAGTATTCGGTTAGCTGAAGGATAGCTTCCCCCCACAAACTCTTCGGTAATTCGGAACTTATTAATAAAGAATACATCATTTCCTTTAATGTTCGATTTTTCCTTTCCGCAATTCCATTGGATTGAGGTGTGTAAGGTGCAGTAGTTTGATGGATAATTCCATATTCCGAACATATTTCTGCGAACGGAGATTCATATTCTCCACCCCTATCACTTCTAATCATTTTGATCTTTTTATTCAATTGATTCTCCACTTTATTCTTGTATTGCTTAAATGCTTCAATTGCTTCATCCTTACTATTAAGCAAATAAACATAACAATATCGAGTGCAATCGTCAATAAAAGTAATAAAATACTTTTTTCCACCTCGAGACGGTGTCGACTTCATATAAAAAATGTCGGTATGAATTAAGTCCGAAGGACTTGAATTTCTTTCAACAAACTTATAAGGATGCTTTACAAACTTAGATTCAACACATATT